TGGAGACATCATATTAAACTGTTACCGAGTGTGCATATTTGTGTATCGTTTCATCTGCCACATTTAAGAATATGTTTTGGTTTTGTTTATCAACTTTCGGCTCTGACTTGTGCTTTGGGCCACAGCAGGCGTCCCCTGACGTGCCAAATAGGACCACTTCAAAATTGTCCGTGCTTTCGGGGTGCAGTTCGGGTGGCCGAGACTTCGGCCCTTGGAATTAGCCCGGCAATCGCCTCTCTAATTAATGGGACCTGTAACAGAGACATCAGGGACGTTTATGTTACTACTTAAAGTGATTATTCTAGAGATCCCTTAAGTGTGTTCTTAAACATTGAAGAAAATAAACGAAAACTATTTGTACAAACGCGTACGAAAAAAACATGTTCCTGCGAGAGATCGAACCTGGAACTTCCCGCGTGTTAGGCGGATGTGATTATCACTACACCACGGGTGCAGGACAGGTCTTCGTGCTGTCGCCATGTGCTAGACCGGTTACTGTGACTGCTTAAAAGGATGACAAATTGCGTCATATGTGCCGTAACGTTCTCAAACGCGGGGGCTCAAACAACTACAGGGTCATTTGTATGGGTCCCTGTGCTGCGTAGAAAAAACAAATACGTATTCATCTATTTCGGAGTCATCAGGGACGTTTATATCACAACTTGAAGTGATTATTCTAGAGATCCTGAAAATGTGTTCGTAAACTTGTGAGAAAATAAACGCAAACTATTTGTATAAACGCGTTTAAAAAATAAAAAAAACATGTGCCTGCTAGAAATCAAACGTGGGAACTTCCGCGCGTTAGGGGGATGTGATTACCACTACACGACAAGCACGTGTGCAGAACACGTATTCGTGCTGTCGCCATGGGCCAGACCTGTTACTGTGACTGTTTAAAAGGATGACCTATTGCATCGTAAATGCCGTAACCTTCTCAAACACCTAGAGTGTCATTTGTATGGGTCCCTGTGCTGCGTTGGAAAAACGATCACATGTTCGTCTATTTCGAAGACTGTCACAAACGAGGGCTCCGAAAAAGCGCGCGCTGTGAAATTCAAGCGACAGTAACGATACCAAGCGCTGAGAGACACCTCAGGGTAGACAATAAAAAAGAAAACAAGAATCCGAAAACTCCCCGGGGCGTCGTCTCTCCCCCCCCCCTCGTAAGCGTTGTATGGCCGACCAACCTCCTCACAGCGGCGGCTGAGCAAGCCTTGGAACGTTCTCGAAGGAAAGGGGTGGGGTCATGGAGAGTTGCGTCACGAGTCGCAGATGGCCCTCGAAACTTCTCACTCTTTCCCCAGGCTTGGCTGGTGATCGCGCCGACGAAACGATGAGAAGTTTCTGGAATCTAGCGCGGAAAGTATTTAATTGAGCAGCAGAGAAAGGAGAACAGGAGAAAAAGAAAGTATGTGTCAAAGTTCGTAGGGTGTTTCCACCGTGTCGTCGGCGAAGGCCCTGTCCTCAGTGACAAAGCAGGTAATGCAGAGGATTTCCACCTGTGGGGTAAGACTCGTACTACAAGCAGCAGAGTGTGTCTACCGCCAGCGAGCGAAGACTCGATGCAACAGCTGCGCGTGGGAAGCCGACGTGTTACCGGCGAAGAAGTTTGGTGCTTGAAGAGCGGCTAATTGAAGACGCGAGGTTTCCTGGAAGAGAAACTTCGTGGGCAGCAGAACGACAACAGCGCTGTACTTTGAGTGAGCGATTCTTGGAAGAGTATCATTCAGACTTTGTTCCATAGACTTTGGACTGAATAAGTTTTTGAACTCTTTAGTCTTTTAATGTCTTGGTTGTTCGATGCACGTGATTACATTGTAGTGCGTATTGTTGTTTGTGTCCGTTATTTCGACTGTGGCTGAATGTACTGTGTAGTACGTTGATTGATTGGAGACATATTGTTTTCAACTGTTGCCGAGTGTGCATATTTGTGCATCGTTTGATCTGCCATATTTGAGAATATAATTTGTTTTTGTACATCAACTCTCGGCTCAGACATGTGCTTTGGGCCACAGCCGGCGTCTGCCGACGTGCGAAATAGGAACACTTCAAAATTGTTCGCGCTTTCCTCGTGCATTTCGGGGGGCCGAGACATCTGCCCTTAGAATGAGCCCGGCGATCGCCTTTCTAATTAACGGGACCTGTAACAGAGACATCAGGGACGCTTATATCACTACTTGAAGTGATTATTCTAGAGATCCTCAACGTGTCTTCTTACACTTGTGTGAAAATAAACGCAAACTATTTTTACAAACGCGTCCGAAAAAAAACATGTTCCTGCCAGGGATCGAACGTGGGACCTTCCGCGTGTTAGGCGGATGTGATTACCAATACACGACAAGCACGGGTGCAGAATACGTATTCGTACTGTCACCGTGATTGATTTGTGGGGTTTAACGTCCCAAAACCACCAGTACTGTCACCGTGGGCCAGACCGGTTACTCTGACTGCTTAAAAATACGACATATTGGGTCACATGTGCCGTAACCTTTCCTCACACGGGGGGGCTTAAACAGCTACAGGTCCATTTGTATAGGTCCTTGTGCGGCGTAGGAAAAACGAATACATATTCGTCTATTTCGGAGACATCAGGGACGTTTTTATTACTACTTGAAGTGAATATTCTAGAGATCCTGAAAGTGTATCATTACACTTGTGAGAAAATAAACGCAAACGATTTGTACAAACGCGTCCGAAAAAAAAGATGTGCCTGCCATAGATTGAACCTTGGAACTTCCGCGTGTTAGGCGGATGTGATTACCACTACACCACAAGCCCGGGAGCAGAACACGTGTTCGTGCTGTTGCCATGTGCCAGACCGGTTACTGTGACTGCTTAATAGAATGGCATATTGCGTCAAATGTGCCGTAACGTATTTTTTCAAACGTGGGGGCTCAAACAGCTACAGTGTCATTTGTATGGGTCTCTGTGCTGCGTAGGTAAAACAAATACATATTCATCAATATCGAACACATCATGGATGTTTGTATCACTACTTGAAGTGATTTTTTTAGAGTTCCTGAAGATGTGTTCTTACACTTGCTTGAAAATAAACGCGAACTATTTGTACAAAGGCGTGCGAAAAAAAAACAGGTGCCTGTGAGGGCTCCAACCTGGGACCTTCCGCGTGGTAGGTGGATGTGATTGCCATACACCACAATTACGGGTGCAGAACATGTTTTCGTGCTGTCGCCATGTGCCAGACTGGTTACTGTGACCGCTTAAAATGATGACATATTGCGTCATATGTGCCGTAGCGTTCTCAAGCGTGGGGGCTCAAACTGCGACAGTGTCATTTGTAAGGGTTCTGTGCTGCATAGGAAAAACAAATACATATTTTTCTCTTTCGGAGACATCAGGTACGTTTATATCACTACTTGAAGTGATTTTTCTAGAGATCCTGAAATTTTGTTCTTACACTTTTGAGAAAATAAAAGTGAACTATTTGCGCAAACGCGTCCGAAAATATAAAAAAACATGTGCCTGCCAGGGATCGAACCTTGGAGCTTCCGCGCGTTTGGTGGATGTGATTACCACTACACCACAAGCCCGGGTGGAGAACACGTCTTCGTGCTGTCGCGATGTGCCAGACCAGTTACTGTGACTGCTTAAAGAGATGACATATTGCGCCACATGTGTGGTAACGTTTCCTCAAACGTGTTGGCTTAAACAGCTACAGTGTCGTTTGTGTGGGTTCCTGTGCTACGTAGGAAAAACGAATACATATTCGTCAATTTCGGAGACTGTCACAAACTAGCGCTCCAAAAAAGCGCCTGCCGTGGAATTAAAGCGACAGTAACGATACCAAGCGCTGAGAGACGCCTCAGGGTCAACAATAAAGAAGAAAACAAGCATTCAACATCTTCCGGGGCGTCCCCCCCCCTTCCTCGGAAGCGTAGTATGGCCGACCAACCTCCTCACAGTGGCGGCTGAGCAAGCCTTGGAAGGTTCTCGAAGGAAAGGGGCGGGGTGATGCAGAGTTGCGTCACGAGTAGCAGACGGCCCTCGAAACCTCTCGCTCTTTCCCCATCTTTGGCTGTGCATCGCGCCGACAAAACGATGAGAAGTTTCTGGAACCTAGCGCGGAATATATTTATTGAGCAGCAGAGATAGAAGAACAGGAGAATAAGAAAGTATGTGCCAAAGTGCGTAGGGTGTTTCCACCGTGTCGTCGGCGAAGGCTCTGTCCTGAGTGACAAAGCAGGTAATGAAGAGGATTTCCACCTGAAGGGTGAAGACTCGTGCTATATGCAGAAGAGTGTGTCTACCGCCAGCAAGCGAAGACGCGTTGCAACAGCTGCGCGTGGGAAGCCGACGTGTTACCGGCGAATATGTTTGGTGCTTGGAAGCGGCCAATTGAAGACGCGAGGTTTCCTGGAAGAGAAACTTCGGGGGAGCGAAACGACAACAGCGCTGTACTTTGAGTGAGTGATTCTTGGAAGAGTATCATTCAGACTTTGTTCCAAGGAGTGTGGACTGAATAGTTTTTTCAACTCTTTAGTCTTTAAGTGTCTTGGTTGTTCGATGCACGTGATTGCATTGTAGTGCGTATTGTTGTTTTTGTCCGTTGTTTCGAGTGTGCCTGATTGTACTGTGTAGTACGTTGTTGGATTGGAGACATCGTATTAAACTGCTACCGAGTGTGCATATTTGTGTATCGTTTGATCTGACATATTTGAGAATAAAATTTGGTTTTGTTTATCAACTCTCGGCTCTGACATGTGCTCTGGGCCACAGCCGGTGTCCTCTGACGTGCCAAATAGGACCACTTCAAATTTGTCCGCGCTCTCGTGGTGCAGTTCGGGGGGCCGAGACTTTGGCTCTTGGAATTAGCCCGGCGATCACCTGTGTAATTAACGGGACTATAACAGAGACATCAGGGACGTTTATATCACTACTTGAAGGGATTTTTCTAGAGATCCTTAAATTGTGTCCTTACAGTTCTGAGAAAATAAAAGTGAACCATTTGCGCAAACGCGTCCGAAAATATAAAAAAAACATGTGCCTGCCAGGGATCGAACCTTGGACCATCCGCGCGTTAGGCGGATGTGATTACCAATACACCACAAGCACGGGTGCAGAACAGGTCTTCGTGCTGTCGCCATGTGCCAGACCGGTTACTGTGACTGCTCAAAAGGATGACATATTGCGTCATATGTTCCGTAACGTTGCTTCAAACGTGAAGGCTCAAACAGCTACAGTGTCATTGGTATGGGTCCCTGTGCTGCGTAGGAAGAACGAATACATATTCGTCTATTTCGGGGACATCACGGTCATTTGTATCACTACTTGAAGGGATTATTCCAGAGATCGTTAAAATGTGTTCCTACACTTGTCAGAAAATAAACTCAAGTTGCACAAACTCTTCCGAAAAAAATGTGTCTGGCACGGATCAAACCTGGGACCTTTCGCGTGGTAGGCGGATGTGATTGCCATACACCACAAGCACGGGTGCAGAACATGTTTTCGTGCTGTCGCCATGTGCCAGACTGGTTACTGTGACCGCTTAAAAGGATGACATATTGCATCATATGTTCCGTAACCTTCCCTTAAACGGGGGGGCTCAAACAGCTACAGGTTGATTTGTATGGGTCCCTGTGCTACGGATGAAAAACGAATACATATTCGTCTATTTAGGAGACGTCAGAGACATTCATGTCACTTGTTGAAGTGATTATTCTAGAGATCCTGAAAGTGTGTTCTTACACCTGTGAGAAAATAAACGCAAACTATTTGTACGAACGCGACCAAGAAATGAAAAAAAACATGTGCCTGGCAGGGATTGTGCCTGGGACCTTCTGCGTGTTAGGCTGATGTGGTAACCACTACACCACAGGCACACTTTTTCATTTACATCGTCTTATCTACTCGGCCACGACTACGTGCGTGGTACCCTGATCTATTTATTTGCAGAGATAGCGTCTAAATGTATATTGTAGCAAAAAATTCGCAGTAGGCAGGATTCGAACCTGCGCGGGAATATTCCAATAGATGCTGAGTCCATCGCCTTAACCACTCCGCCACGATTGTTCTTTGTTTTTTATTTATTGCTTTGAACAACCCCAAGAAAAAAATACATACAAAATGTATACACCTAATAAAACACCACCATCATCTTGGCCAGTGCACTTGGTTTAAAACGACTTCACAGATTCCGAATTTGTCGAGAACGGGTAACCACTCGGGGGGTTGAGACTGCGCTTGAAACAAGTCTCGTGTATACAGCATACTGTCAACAAAATAATCTCTTGCTGAGTGAGCATCTACACGAAAATGTCGAACATCCATTCTTGTTTTCCACACACTATGCATGCAAAGCAACATGTCACTCGGCACTTTTGTTGCAGCTGCACACGGAAGAAAGCGGAATTCGAAGGCGTTTATAGGTAGATATTTTTTTAGAGTTTGTTGTAGTACGTCCCACAAGAACACAACACCATGGCAGTCAAGAAAGATATGATTTATCGTTTCTGGTTTGCCGCAGATAAGACAGTTGACGGACCACGGTACAAAAAGCCCTTTGCTTTTTAGTCATGAGAGTATAGGGAGTGTGCCGGTATGTACTTGAAAGAAGAATGTTTTGACAGAAGGTCCGACCAGTATTCTCTGAACACGCTTTAACCCGTCATGGTCACGACCTAGCGTGTGCGGAGCTCGATAGACGGGCACTGTTAAAAGTCATCAAGAAGGTCAAGATACTGTTTTTTTGGCTCACCGGACAAGTATTCGTACGAGAATCTTTCCTTGAGCAGGCGTCTAGCCGTAACTACTTCTCGCAAATAGGGACTGAGTGGTCCAGCTTGGAAAGAAATGGATGACACGACGAAATCAGGTAAGAGTTCTGCAGTCTTGCTTGGATCACTGTTCTCAAGAAATTATCAGTCTGATCTTGAGCAAACGTGAATCTGCACACAAACTGCTTGAAGAACAAGTGTAAAAGCCCCAGACCCCCATATTTTATTCCATGAAATAAATCGAACCGGCTTGTGTGCTCCCACTGTGATCCCCGTGTGAAGGTCGCGAATACTCGGTGCATTTTTTGGACTGAAGTACGGGTCATAGCTAACACCTGTAATACCTAGAACACTTTTGCAACCAAAATCCCATCTCACACGGACGCTCTGGCGAACATTGAAAAATTGCTGCCACCCCACTTATCAGTACAATTTTTTATTCGTTTATTTTCCTCAGACCAATACTCAGTAGCATTGCGGAATATATCCTAAGGAATGCCGAGATACTTTCCCGGCATGATTTTCGAATTCGTGTTACAATAAACTACGGGTGTGCTTTGCCACTGACCATGCCAAAAGGCCAGATGTTTTGGCCAACGAATTGCGCTACCTGTTGCTGCACAAAATTCTCTAGCTATTCGTTTAACTTTGGGCACTTTCTTTGTCACTGCTAAACAGTGCAACGTCATCAGCATAAGGAAAAATTCTAATTTCACTGCTGAGAAACTTATATCCCCTTATACTTGGTGTTGCGCAAACAAAAAGGCTCCAAGTAAAGCGCAAAAAGAAGTGGCAACAAAGCACAACCTTGCTCCACGCTCGAGCACACAGGTATTGGAGCACTTACTTCTTTGTTTATTACCAAATTAGCCGTACAGTCATGATACACCATTCTAACACCTTCGGTAATGACAGTTCCTACCTTCGAATGCTCCAGCAATAAAAACAAAACTTCATGTACAACTTTATCGAACGCTTTATGCAGATCTAGCTTAATCATGGCCACGTGGTCATGGTTCGCGTCACCGCATTCTAAAATACTTTTGACTACGTGTATTTTTGTGAACGTGTATGTTTGTGAATATGGTTATGCCCCGGGGACTCGCTCGCTGAATTCCGTGCCGACCGGTTGTGCCCTCGCGTACTCCGACGTCAGCGTAGCTCTGGCTGACTGGGCTCGCCCTACGTCATCTCCTGACGCCGACCTCCGACGACAGTGTAGCTCTGACCAACTGAACTTGCTCTACGCCCTCTCCTGACGCCGACCAGAGCTCTCGCAAGCTTTGCCCCGTCCTCGGACTCGTGTGACCGTGTTTTCATCTTTCCTATATCTCCTAACCCCTCGATATGTCGTCGCACTCTGGCACACTGTTTATCTCTCTTTACATCTCAATTCCTATACTTTTGATCCCTCCTCGCCCCATCCCTTGTGAGCTACTGTTGAGGTGTCGCTCGCTGAAGCAGACAGTTACGGGGCCCACTTTTCTCTTCCTTTCTCTCTTAAAACCACTTTGGTTCTGCCCTTAATACCACATGTCTGATGCTTGCCGACAATAGATGTGACAACGCTTTGGAGCCGTTTGCTAGAACCTTCATGCATATTTTAAGTCGATGTTGCTCAAACTAATAGGTTTGTAGAATTCCATTGTAAGGAGCTTTGCGGGGTCACCAGTTTTGGGGTTTAATAGAGAGAGATAGTATACCGGGCTTACCGGGTTACCGGGTGTAATTTGATACCGGAATCAAAGTGCGCATGCGCAGATACGTACGTCACCCGTACAGCTTCCAGTACGTGCGGTATTTTTCAGATTTCACGTTACCGTGGTAGCGTAGGTGTACGTAGTGTACGTAAACATGGCGGCGCTCTCGGACGCCCGCTTCGAAATGATTTTGGCGTAGTTGTTAAAAGATTCACCTTGTCCGCTGCAAGCGACTGTTCAAAGTGGCTTCGCTTGCCTCCAGTTAGCTCCGATATTCAAGTATTACGGATAAGTTGGCGTAGTTTTTGAGATAGCTTCCCATTTCGAACGCGCCTAGGCCTAACTACAAGATCGATGTAAACAAATCGGCAACGTAGTTGTTTTTGCGTTTGGTACGTGGTTCATATTTATTTAGTTTTATCATGACTAAAATAAACTTCTAACAATGCTTCGCGCGGTGGCATAAGTAAACATTCTCGTTTTCTTTTTATTTTCACTGCTTAACCTAATAACCATCCAATGGGTGGCGTCACCAAGCCGGGGCACGTAAACCACGTAAACGCTATCCCACTGAACTATAAGACGCCTGCCCACAACGAACGTTTGCTCCACGGTAACGCCATTCTCTTAACCTACGCTATCATGCTAACGCTAAACTATAACAGTCTAATACTACGTGGGCTGGCCTAAAAGAATGAGGTGTTTGTTCTTCTCGTAGCATTCTGTAATAACTCGATGTAAAGCCAGTGCCAGTGCCATTTCTGTTTTAAAACATTTGTATGTGGCAGCACCCAGCCTTACGGCCCTGGTGACTTGCCGTCACTCAGGTTATCTATAGCTGCTTCTATTTCTGCCACAGTAATTTATACTTCTAGTAGCTCCCGCTCAGTCTTCCAATCTCGGCATAAGGGCCAGAAAGTCCTCTATGAATCGTTCGAGATCATTATTTGTATTGCTGAGAAGTTCCGTATAAAACTCAACAAAGGCGTGGTTTATCTTTTCGTGGTCCCGGGTAATGTGATTGCGGTATCGAATTTCAGTTATCTCTTTGGTTGCTGCAACTTTCTTCTCTTAACTGAGCACTTGCTTAGTGCGCGTTTCGCCCATCTCCAGCCGTTCAGTACGAACTCTTATCATTGATTCGCGGTACTTTTTTTCGTCGATGAATTCTAGCTTTGCTTTAACATGTAGTCCAGTTCACTTTGTAACTGCCTCTCTTGTTGCCTTTCCACATTACGTAATACACAAGCGCTCTCGATCGCAACCATCTTTATATCACACTTAATTTGCTCCCACACAGCTATGAAGGTATTGGTCTCCAAACGAAGAGCATATGAAATTTTTGGATTTTTGTGACAAATATTTTATCTTGCAGCAGTTTTTCACTAAATTTCCATAGGAAATAATTAAACTTCACAGCCTTACGTTTTTCGTCAATTTTGACCTTGACCAGACAATAATCACTATAGCTAAGATGTTGAGTTTTCTAAGATGAGCGTAGTGGCACCAACTTTGCCGACAAATATATTCTGTCTAACGACGCGTGCGAATGACCTTGAAAGTGCGTATACCGTAATTCACCCCCTCGCGTCATTACATAGCCGATATCTTCCAGCTCTCTCTCGTTCACTATTTTATT